ACATATTGTATGGCTTGTTTGTACATTATTCTGAAAATTTATAAATAGGAATAGAGAATTAACCTGTGATTACTAGGGATGAGGGGAATACACAGGTGGTGATCAATTGGGAGAAACAGGAGGAAAGTTTTAGGTGATAAAATTGGCTGGTATCCTGTTTTGGTAATCATGGCTTCTCCACTAGCCTTGTATTTCATGTCATTTTACCAAGAGAAAACACACTTAACAGAAAGTTTAAGATGGAAATAGATAAACACAGTTATGGTTCTTAAAACATCTGTTTGTTAAAATTCCTCAAACATTTAAAGTGTGTCATTTCAAACCATTCAATGGACAAGAAGCTCAAATGTATGCACTCAAAAACAATCATCAGGAAATGTTCCCCATAGTGAGATCCTATCTTTTTCTAAAATAGACAAACTCAATACAGGACAGGTGGGTCAGGACTGTAACAGATACTTCTCATAACAGAAAACACAAGGCTGAGGTAGAAAGACCCTGAATTTAAGGTATGTGTGGGCTACAGAATACACTCAAACCAGCTAGGGCAGCCTTGGGAGTATGCTCTTAAAATACAAATTAATAATTAATACAAAGAGGGCCAGGGTTATAAATCAGTGGTGGAGTGCTTGGCTAGTATCCACAAGTCTCTAGGTTCCATCACTAGTACTTTAATGAATTAATCAGTACATTCAATACATATCTACATACATACACATATATAACCAAGTAAGGCAAAGGTTAGATATTTTATAACAATTTTTCAACATTAAAGATTATCCAAATAAAGCTATGACTACCAAAGAAACTGATGCCAGGATACTTGGGAACTGATGATGATTTCATTACATTTTGTTTAAAAAAAAAAAAGCAAAACTATGAAAACCGATTTAGTTTTTTGTTTGGGTTAATAAGTGATTTTGTTGTCTGCCAATACTGCATTTCCTGATCACTGTTTCATGGTGGTCAGCTCTGTGGCATAAATGGCTGACAATCTGAGCTGTCTTCTACTGGTGGGCAGCCATCTATCCAATGTCGGACTTATCTTTATGCAGATTTCCAAAGGCTGCCGATTCTGCATGTGAAATCTGAAGGGCACTAACTATGTGGCTGACAGCCTGTGACAGCCACTAAGCATGGAATAAGTAGGAATGATGGTATGAATAATCAATGAGCTTTCACTCTGCCCCTGGCCAGCTTCAGAATCCTGCACTTTCTGTGTGGCCTTGAAATTAATTAGAAATGTAATTCCCTAGCAAATCAAATCTGTATTAATTTTCCATAAACAAATGAGTAGAAGTAAGAGACACTAGTGAACTTAAGTCTAACGCATTATGTATTTTCAGGAATAATTTCCACTTAAAAATGAAAATTAGCATCAGTTTGGATGCTATTGCCATAAAACTGTATTCACTTCTTCTTTATATTGATATACATAATGCATAAAATAGGTCAGTATATGTTATATAGGTACAAAATATAAATTACATATAATAAATTATGAGTATATAAAATAAATTATGTATCTATATATAATAAATATGAATTATTTATACCTCACACCTATATAGATTTATATTTAAAGAAACTTTGCTATCTAAACAGGTCACTACACGGTACCAATAACAGTATTACCTGTTTCCAACCCAAGACCTATTCCTGACTTCAGCTTTCCTCTCATCATTCAAATGTAGTCATGAAGATCTGTCACCTTCTCTTTGGAAATATTCTCAAAGGTGTGACCACCACTCAATCCTAGCAGTTGCCTTAAACTGAATTTTCATTTGACAGTAATTGAGTTATTACAAGAATATTCCAGATAATCTATTTCTTAGATTCACACTGTCATCTATGATATTTCCAACTGTCTACTATATGATTCCATGTGCAAGGCCAATGATATATTATAAAAGATACACAAAAGCAGAAACAGGTATATATAAATAGGAAATATGTCTTAAATATATGAACTTATTGTATATATGTATGTGTGTGTGCTCATGTTTGTGTTTGGTGTGACTGTGGTGTACATATACTTATTAGTGTATGTGTGCACATATGCATGCTTGTGTGTACATTATTGTGAAGACCAGGACTAGAGATTATGTGACCACTTTAACTTCTTTCCATATTTATGTTTTTGAGACAGGAACATGAAGTTCATCCCTTTGGCTGAGTTTGCTGCCAACACAGCTTCTCTGGATCTGCCCATCTTTGCTTCCACAGTACTGGGTCACAAAGTATGAACCACCCAAGTTTCTTACACTCACTTGGCAAAGAAGGCACTATGCTAAAGGAGACATCTCGCCAGGCCCTACAGGAACTAATTTAAAGAAGCAAGGAAAAAAAGAAACTAGTATAAAACAAAAGAGTCAGGGCCACAGAGGACTCTTGGGTTCTTTCAATTTTAAATATTTGTACAGAAAATTCTAGCATGGGAAGGGGAGTTCTAGGTATGGCGATATGAGTATCTGAGAAGAGCGTAGAAGGAAAACAAGGGCTAAAGCTCTTGGTGGAGGGGGTTTCAGCACGTGGGAAAGCCAAGCCAGCTGGAGTGCCCAGGGAGCTGAGATCGAGTTGTGATTTATGCAAAGGTGGTAAAGATGGGTCAAAGAAAAACATCTCACACGGTTTCTCTTCTACGCAGCAGAGGGCTGAGATTGGACTCAAGGTAGTAGCCAAGGGGGTGATAAGAAGTCTGGCAGAACCTGCTGATGGATACACCACATGTGGGAAATTGTCTCAGCATTACTCCAAGTGTTTATACCTAGGAACCCGAAAGAGTGGAGGAAACAACTGAACTTTTGTGAGACCAGTATTACTAAACACCTTTCATTATTTTGAAACTTTGGTTTGATGTTGTGTGGTTAAACACATCCAAAGAAGGCATATACTATGGAAAGGATGCCTTCTCCAGTGCATCTTTCCTGTTGAGTCTCAAGCATCGAGACAGTATTTCTGACACGCTGAACTCTATTCTAAATTCTATGTCGTAGAAAATTTTATTAACTTCTTCCTGCCCAAGAGGGAACAGAAGCTTAGGCACGGTAATAACACATGAAAGGTCACGTATCAAGATTTTCTCCAACGCAGAAGCTCTTCCCCATGGTTCTCAAGTGTGCATCGTGTGTTTTATATTAAAAGAATCTAGAGGCTCCGGGTACTGAGAGTGGGCAAAGGGGTGGGTAACAAAAGGAGCAGCTAGGAGAATCTGGTGTGCTGAATATGTTCTCTCTCTTGATTTGGGTGGCATTTATGTAGCTTTCAGTGCTTGTCAAAGCAGACTGCATATTTTTAAAAGGTAAGTTTAGTAAACACTACACACGTATGTATTTAAAAACACAATGACGCAAATAGGAATTGACAGATCAGGTTGGAACTATGCAGGCACGTTTGTCCACAGGGAGACTGGTTTCACCTACAGCACATAATTTGTTCTTTTGTTGTCTGATTGACACAACTCTCTTCATATCTTCATCTCACACTTGAGAAAATGTCTCATAGAGTAACTGGCTGGCCCGGAAATATCTCCAAGATCTGCCTAACTCTACTTTGAATTCTAGGATTTAGAGCTACACCACTACCACCCTCAGTCATGTACTGGCTTCTGATGAGAGTGTCTAGGTAATACTCGATTCAATATTTTTAAATATTTTAAAGGAATTATTGAGTAAGCCTTTTTTTGTTAAATTAATTTACTTCCCTGTATCACTGAACTCATTTCAATTTTAGCTTAGTAGATGAATGTCTACAGCATGAAGATATCAATATACTAAGCTAATCAATCCTGAGTGACTCAATCATATCTTACTCTCAAAAAGAGGGCTAATATTGTTTACACATCCAATTGATATGGAGAGGAAAATAAGTGACAGAGAAGAAAAAAAAAACATTTAAATCACTGAACATCCATTTAAAAATTACTGCCTACAAAAGCATTTGTAATGTTTCTGTAATCTTAAGTCACTGAGTGTGCTTAAGTTTAACTATAAAGTCTTGGAAAATACATTGATGGTAGTTTATAATAACTATTGTTTCAATGAATCAAAATAAATATTAATCAATCAAAAGGAAGAATAATGACAAAACAGAAAGAACTGATTTTTCCTGTATGTTTATAAAATTTTAAAGTTACTTCACAAAACTTAATTTTAATAGCTCCAAAAAGACAATAGGATCTTGGCATTGTCGTACATGGCTATAATCCCAGAACACAGGAGACTGAGGTAGAAGGATTTTGAGTTGGGCTACCTCCTCAGAAATCATCCTCAAAACAACAACCAAAAAGAAAAAAAAAAAAAAAAAGGAAAAGGAAAAAGAAATCCCAAGTGTTACCATACCATGGATTATGCATAAAAGGAGCTGTTTTATACCTTATGATTTGCTTGAGAAAATATGTACCAGCCTAATTTTATACTCTGAAAATTTTCATGTTGAACTTAATAAATATATTTGTAGTAAATAGGTCAGATTTGAAAATAATCTGCTTTATATATTAAACATCTTGACGGTATAAAGTGAGTATACTTCATTTATTAATTTCATATTCAGTTATGGATAAAAAATTGAGAGCAAATGAAATGAATTATACAAGAATGACTTCAATGCATTGTCTTGGTGCCCATGTACCAATGGGAGCAAAAATCTTGGCACAGTTGTTTACATATTGTCAATAAAGTAATATAGCCATCATGTCTTTCCATAGCAGCAGCCACAAAAACTACTTGCTTTAGCCAAATTATTTTTCATATAGTTAGAGTGTATTTCTTCACAACAGCAAATATGCTAAACTACATTATTTACTGTTCAGAAAAGAGAACCTATTTTCCAAAAACATGTAAGATATTAAAATATCATTTCAAAATATATAAAAACATTTAAGCATGCTGCATTTTCAATGTGATTAATTCTCCTAAAACATATACTAACTTGACTTCACATATTGTAAATATATTTTTAGATTCTTAGCAAATATTCAACAATAATAATCTATGAGTTACCTTAATTTGTTCTTTGATTGCTAAAAATCCATGGTTTTGTCTTCTGACTTACTGAATTAAACATTTCTGTAAAAAATAAAATAAAAGATGCAATTAGATGACAAAATACTTTCTTTTAGCATATTAACCACAGAACTAATAAAATTTTGTTACTTAAGAGGTATATTTCCGGACTGGAGAGATGGCTCAGAGGTTAAGAGCACTGGCTGTTGTTCTAGAGGTCCTGAGTTCAATTCCCAGCAACCACATGGTGGCTCACAACCACCTGTAATAATATCTGATGCTGTCTTCTGGTGTGTAGGCATACATGCAGACAGAAGGCTGTATTCATAATATATAAATAAATATTAAAAAAGAAGTATATTTCCCCACACCACTTAAGAGTCTCCCAGCAGAATGGGAAGTAAGAAAATATGAAAGATATGATATATTTTTTAAATAAGACTGTTCACTAGGAATGTAAGAGAAATATTTAAGTATATAATGTAAATATTTTTCTGCTTAAAAGAACACATAAGACTTCAAATAAGTTTTGATAAATCTAAGAAACTACAGCTTCTTACAACAAGCATTTCTTCTAAATCCTGGGACAAGTTCAATAATTTCTACCACCTGAAAATCACTAAGGAAAGATAATGGAGACACACTTAGTGCATTTGGTCATGTAGCCATATCAATACACATATACAGACAAGACCCACTTCTTCTATAGTTATCTGTTCCCACACACATAAATGATTTTATTTAAATACTTTAGTTAAACAATTTGCAGGATATTGGGTTAATGTTCTTAAAATCATCACAATTCCATTTTGAATCACTAAAATAAGAATCCGTATGTCAAACTTGTTGCTAAAAATATTAAAATTATGTTGTTCCTCAAAATACTTTCTTTGTCAACTTAATATATCCTTGTAGTTCTCTGTAGTCAAGTTTTAAATTTTCTAGTGAGTATATTTAAGAATTTACACAATTAACAAATCTAGAAATTATTATGAAATTTATTACTTTTATACAATTGCAATAGGACTATTTTTGTTTCTCCTAAAGGGATGAGTACGTATACACACCCCCAAATAATAACAGAAACCATTATTTATTCTACCATCTTGCTCTCAAATGGATAAGGAATTAGAAATGGAGCAGGAAATCAATACCATGGAATTAAACAAGGTTTTCCTTAATGAAAGTCACAATTGACTAAAATTAAATAGAATACAAATTAGTAGAAATTATCCTGTAATGCAAATATTTGACTTGTTAGTCATTTTAAATTGTGAAAGTAGCAGCATTTGCTGTATTCTAGTAAGTGTTCAATAGTATTTGAATACTTAGCAAAACTGTACTCAAAAGCAAGGCAACTCCACATTTGAATTGCATGCTTGACTACTCAAACAAGCAACTCTTATAATCAATTGCTTGAACTAACCTGGATAATCTTCCTTCAACAAAGCAAGCATTCTTTCAATAACTAATGACTTGATAGATTACTTCCCCCTTGCTTTTAAACAATGATATTTGTCATTTTGAAAAGGTTTTATATAACTGGGCAATCATGGGTTACAGCACAGGCCTGCCCACAAATATCATCTCCCTTCATATATTTTGCATCACCTTGGAAATACATTTTGAATTCAGAGATGCCTAATTCTTCACATTTCACTTCCCCTCAAATATTCAAGTTTTCCTTATAGTCCCACACCACCATGGAAATATCTGTTCAACACCACTTAAGGTGAAGATTACATAATAATCAGGGCTCTGATTTCCTAGGTTTTATTATTTCTCCCCAGTGTAACAAGCTGCTAAGCCAGCCTCAAAAATGCTGACTGGGCAAACAAAATGTTAACATTTTCATAAATCAAAAATAAGGCATTGTTTATTGGAAACTGTCTGCATTGTCCTCACATAAACTGAGATAATAAAGGAAAGTCAACCATTATACATGTCCTTGAATTTGTTTGCACAGCTGCTTTTACAAACCCTGGTTCCCTGGATTTTGTTGTTGGTTTGTTTTGTTCTTCGTTTTTCTCCATAAGCACAAAGAGTCTTCAGCTTATAGTGGAGCTCTTAGCATCACTGTGCTCTACTCTCCAGAACCACTCACTTCATTTAGAGCCCACAGGGCAAAGACCAGCTTGCTAAAGCCACTTAGAATCTCAATGAAAAGGACAAATAGACAAGAAACCCAAGGAATGGAATGGAAGAATCAAAGGAAAGGGAAAAGAATAGACAGAGAAGAGAAAGGATCCTTTTCAACGGATACCTATCTATGCTATGAGATAATATGGATAAATTCATTTTCTATTTAATATACTAAAACAGATGCTCAAAAACATCTGTTGTAAACAAGTTGAGTATATGATTCCTTAGGAAGTGGTTGATGATCTTTTAATGCAATTAATGCCTTTCAGTATCTGATCATATTTTCATTACCTTACAGTTCCACATGGTTCAAAATTAGCATAAATCCAATACCTTAGAAATCACTGCAATTCATCAGAGGGCTGGAGAACTAGTTGAAAAGACTGAGTCTAAAAACTAGATATACACTTGTTAATAGTAAAAGTTGACTTATGTTTTTGATTAAACATTATAATTAATCACACATAAAAGGTAACAAAATACATATTGATGTAAAACAATGAACTGCCAATTTATAAATTCAGTAATAAATGATATATATGCTTCAAATTTTCCAGTTCTGGGAGAGCAAAATTAAAAAGAAGAGAATTTGTAGATATTTATCACATATTTACTGTTTTGGGCATGGCTCAAGTTGATATAGATTCAGAAGGAACTGAAGATATTAAAAGACTACTCAGAATTTATGCACATTCCAGCTAGGAAGCAGACTGAGGCAGAGACACACAGGAAGATGACATATCTGTATACACATATGCACATTTTATGTATTTATAAACTACATACTATCTTTGTTTTTGTCTGATGACATACACATATTATGTACATAGTAAAATGCTCATAGTGTGGCAAACACTGTTTTAATTACTTCATATTATCATTTAATATTTTAAATAATCACCTGAAGTTTATCCAAATATTTTTATCTACATTCAAAGGAGATGCCAAGTGAAAAATTCAGAACTTTATTCCATGAACTCAAAATTCTGATTCTACATATTCAAGGTCCCCAAACAGCACTGCATTATTACTAATCATCTTTGTTGAGATATTTAAATTGAAGGGAAGGGAAGCTTCCATAAATTAACTTCTCAGAAGACAATCTCAGAAATTCGAGACACTGCTTGCTGTCGGAGATGGCTTCACAAGTTGATAGTTAAATGCTATATCTCCAAATAACCCAATACAAACTAGTATAGACTCAAAATGGAAAAAAAAAAACAACTAAGTTCCACATGTACTCATTCCAAAATTATATAATATGACCTATTGAAGTGCACGAGAATGGTCCATAAGGCAGTGAAGAGGTGACAAGACTGTGCCCCTCCAATCACATTGCAAACCATTAAGAGGAGCTTTGCAGCAGCTGGAGGTGTTGGGGCCTCTGGACATTAACACAGACTATGCGACTGAGCTATACTCCCAGCCCATGCCCTCGTACTTAAGCTGTCCACTGACAGCTAAAGTAAAACAGTACAAATGAGGACATTTTTTTCATAAAGTGATTTTTCTAAAAGATAGCCTTCAAATCTGCCTTGAGAATAGTGTCCCAATTATCCCAAACCTCATTTCTCCAATGAGGGCTTCTTCTCAGTAGTCTACAAGTAAGTGTACCATACTGCTTACTGTAAAAATTAGGGTTCAAAACTCTCTAAATGAAGAATGTACTTTTCCCCCAAAACAAACATCATTTAAAAAAATAAGCAACAACAACAAAAATACCAAAAAAAAAAAAAAAATGACCAAATACCGTCCCACAGTACCCTCCTTTGCTATCTCGCCCATTCCTTGTGAAAAATTCCACTGGACAGAGCAGTCTGTGAGTGAAATGCCTTACAGAGTTCAGGAAACCACAATATACATCATGCAAGTGCCTTGAGGTGGAACCTTGAGAAGGCCTGGGTATGGCAAATATTGTCCCCAGTATCAATGACAAAATAATATAAAGTTTCCATAGCAAGTGTTTCAGGTTAAGAGAAATTAATGATTCATCTAAATGGTTAGGAACAGTTCATGTGAGATAAAATATTGAAATTATGTGAGCAACAATAGGATCTTGTATCAGATTGCCTGTAAATTGTCTAACCTCTGTTTGAGCACTCACTGGACTTAAAATTAGACCATAAGTCAAATCTTAATACAGGTAAAAGGACTGATATCATAAATATGTGTTATGTAAATGAAACTAGTAATGAAAATTAGGAATCCCTAAATATTTACCAATCACAAACAATAACTAGAAAATATTTGAAGTTCAACAAAAATCAAACATAGCATATTAAAACTTATAGGAGGCAGAAAAAGTAGTGTTATTGGCAAACTTTTATACTATAAAATTTTTACATTAGAAAAGGAGAATGACATAAAATGAATTAGCAGAGCTTCCACATTAATCAAACAGAATCAGCTAAATATACAGTTATTAAAAAGGAAAGAACACTAACTAAAAGGATGCATAAGGCTTATTGAAGACCAATGTTAAAATGATTACTAATTTTTTAAAGTAACATGAGTCAGTTTTAAAATTCCACTAATTGTTTAATGCTATAAAAATTTCTCACTTTATCCATTATGCTCATTATTAGCAATGACAACTCAATACATTTACTCATAAATTTTCCCTCAACGGATAAAATTTTGGAACAGCTAATCGACCTATAAAAGATATAACATATTTACAAGGCACATAATGTTTAGTAAACACATTGGCCAATATATTTACTTGTACAACTCTGAACTTGGATGGTGACAGTCATCTTGACTGCCTGCATTCATTAGATAGGGTAATATAGGTAAGAGAGGGTAACAGGGTAAGGTATGGAAATACAGGTAAGATAGGGTAACAGGGTAAGATTGGGTAACCACAACACTCCATCCTCTATCATACTAAGCCATCCCATAGATTACCATACCAAATCATA